CTGAAACTACATATTTGTAGTTTTGTACCATAGAATAGAGGTTATATTCATATAATTGCTTTAATGTTAATAACAGGCATTTGCGTCCCAATTTGTATACTGCTGCAAGAAGCTACAGCTTGATCCTCAAAAGGTGAATGTCAATGGAGGAGCCATGGCCATAGGCCATCCTCTTGGAGCTACAGGTAACTTATTGTATTCCTAAAAGACTCTTTTTGTATTCGTTCATCAATTAACATGGACATAATTATGACTTTTCCAATCTCAGGTGCTCGTTGTGTTGCAACTTTACTCCATGAGATGAAACGTCGTGGGAAAGATGCTCGTTTTGGTGTTGTTTCTATGTGCATAGGTTTGTCTTATTCTATCCCTACGAAGTGATGCCTAGATAAATGGTGTTTAAAAAATATTTGAGAAAATCATGACAATTTGGGGAAATGGGAAGGAACATACAAAAGGGGGCAAATTTGTACAAAGCTATGATTTAATGGAGGAATTAGGAAAAGCCTCTTTTCTATGTCTTTCAAATATTTTGATTATCCAAATGATATATATTATTTATTTATTTGGTTCAACGTTGCAGGTTCTGGTATGGGGGCTGCAGCAGTGTTTGAAAGAGGAGATTGAGTGTATGGCCTATGCAATGCTCAGCCAGTCAAACCTAATGATTATTTTTCTTTGGATGCATTATAGACACATTTTATCTCTCATAAATGATATTTAATATCTTTCCCCATTAAGTGATGTCTTAATAAATGATATTTAAAAAATATACAAGGAAATGGCAACCCTTGATGAAATGAAGGGGAAAGTCCAGTTTCTCTATTAAGTCAAAAAAAACACTCATATATATATATATATAGCTTATCTTATTGGGTTCATTAATTAAAAAAGAAACAAACACCTTGTGAATAGCAATCATTGCATGAGACTTAGCTTCACATGTCTTTATATAAGAGTTGGAACTTGGGTATTCGCTCGGGAGGAAGTGGGCAATTCACTATCAGCTTGCCTTTCATGGCTCCTCTAAATATTTCCTGCAAGAAAATGAGCACCAATATTAAAAATTGAGGACTTGGAAAATCTTTTTAATAGTAATCTTAAAGTTGAGAAGTAGTAATGAATATATACAAGAGGCATACCTCTACAACATCAATGAAATCCTGTTTCCTGTGAAATGCACCTACCCACTTTGTGTGATCTGCACTCCTGTAGTCGAGTCAAAGACAACAAACATTCATAAAAGAAGTAAAAGCAATTGGGGTACAATCATATCAACTACATCACTAATACTATGAATTAACAGAAAACATGAATACAGATAGAGAAATCAACAAAGCATTAGATAATTACCCCGAATCCATCTTCATGTGATGAGCATTGAAGAAGAAAACCGTGGAAGGGATGAGTGTAATGTCAAAATACTTGATGTAAACTTGAATTTCCTCCGAATCAACATCGACTAATGCTATACTAGCGAATTTCGATACTTCTCGTTCTGATTTTGAAAGCTGCGCGAATTGAATTTTAAGAATGAAAAAAACGGAGATCGATAGAAGAAGAAGAATAAAAACCCTAGGAAATTGGAGGACGAGTGCGTACTATATCATCGAGTTGAAGACAGACGGAGTCGGAAGATCTGCCGAAGCGAAGGACGAGTAGCTTATCAACGGTGTCTCTGATCATGGAATCGACCTCTTCCTTCTTCGTCAATGTTCTCAGTAGGTAGCTCATCCTTCCGCCCACACCCACACCTCTTGTGTTTCAACCTTTGCGTCAAAATTCGTTGATTGTGGGAAAAACTGATTTTTGAAAGAAAAAATGAGATTGTGGAATATTAGGTTGTTGCATCATCTCCGGGACGCCGTATCAATCCAAAAACAAATCCGAACCGTTCAAAATAGTGTTTTTGATTGATATTTTAGATTTTGATAGACATATTATTATTTTATAAGTCTATTCAAAGTCGTTTGATATTTTATATAGATACATAAGAATTTAGTCGAAATACATATTTTGGTAACGTTGGTATTGTGTGATAATCACGTCCGACCTTGAGATTTTGAAGGCCCTGTGCAACAATTAAATTAAAGCCTTATATATTTTTTTTGTAAAATATTATTAATATATCCAATTGAACTAATAATTTCACTTTTGTTGCATCGCTCAAAACTAAAATTGTGTCCTCTGTCATATACTTAGGTGTTGTTTGTTTTTTTGAAGCAAAAATTCATGAAGTCTGCGAACCACCTCTGCAGTAGAAGTGCAGTATAAGAGGTGGACAAAACGGCTGCAGACTATAACAAGAAACGTGTTTGTTTTTTTAACATCTGCATAGTGCTGCAGATATTTAAAAAATTAAAATAAACTGATTTTATAAACCGAAAATAGTTTTTTAATACCGAAAATTTAATAATGTATGACATTTCAGCAAGAATTTATAATATTTCAACAAAAAATAATGATATTTCAACAAAAAATAAAGATATTTTAGCAAAAAATTATGATATTTCATCAAGAATTTATCATTATTCAATGTAAAAAAACGAAAAAAATAATTCAATAAGAATAAACAAAAAACGAAAAAAAAAATGTAAAATAATATTTCAGCAACATATAATAAAGTTTCCAGCAAGAAAAAAGAAGAAGAAGAGGTTGGAAGAGGGAATACAAGTGTTGCGTAAAACAGAACACGCGCAAAATTTTTTACTCTGAAAACTTCTAAAAAACAAACAACTACGAGATTAAAAGTGTTGCGCTTGTGTTGCGCCGCGCATCAATAAAAGGTATGAAGAGGTTTTTTATAAAAAAACAAACATCACCTTAGTTTGACATTATAACCAAATAATTTCAAATTTTGAGTTAGGTTTTGGTTACGTGGTGTAAATATTTATATATTAGTGTCAGATTCTAACTAATATTGATAACATATTTAACAAACATAATTTTTATTTTGAATAATACAAATGAGATTTATAACATGCAAATATATTTTAATTAACATATTATAATTTTTAGTAATATAATATTAAAAAAATTCTCAATCAGAGGCCTCTTACAATTGGAGGCCCCGTGCGACCGCACGCCTGCACCACCCCAGGGCCACCACACCACCACACTGGTGATAATTTATGAAGTTTTTATTGAATTCGTGAGTTATGATGAATACAATGATGCAATAAATTTCGAAATTAGACGATATTTAGAATACAGATTTTAATAGAAAATAATATAAAGTTTATTACATTCTTATTTATTTGAAAGTTAACCTTACATTTCAATGGTATAAAGTATGGAAAATGTACTTTATATTTGTAACAATATTAAAAAAAATATCTTATAACAACATAAAAATAAATACATTTTGAAACTAAAAATATGTCATGTCTAATATATATCCGATTAAAACAAATTTATATAATTATGTTCTTAATAATATATTTAGATTTATACCGGATATTAAATAATGAAAATTACAATAAAAAACAATATTAAAATGGTTAAATAAATGAAAATATTAAAGTCTAAACATTCGGCCTTGGAAGAATTAGATTTGTCGATTTTGTCATTGGGTGTAAAAATCTTTGAGAAATATCACATAAGATCGATCGGAGTGGGCTAATTTGCACCTTTCGGTGGTGTTGTGTCATCGCAGTGGTGCGGTGAACACAACATTGATGGGTGTTTGACCAGGGTAAGGGCATCGTACAAGAGGACATTGTCGCACCTTCTTCTGTTTTTTTTTACCGTTTGAATGTTTGATTTATGTGTTACCGTTTTTAAAGTGTATTTTTTTTTATTTTTTAAGTAAACACTATAAATATCATTCTCTATATCATATATTTCACACCATCAACACATTCGATTCATACAAAACCTTAAATTTTTGTATTTCAAAAATGAATCTAAACAATTCTTATAATTCAAAAATGAAAAAATATTTCAATTAGTCTTATTTTGTAGTGTTTTAATTTAATTATCGTTTTGAATTATATTAATGGAATATTTCTCTTTTATTATTATAGATATGTATTTTAAATATTTATATAATTAATAAATTACATTATAAAAAAGAAAAAAATATATATGGTAAGGTGTACCACTCATATCAGTTTTGTAGGGGTGATGGAAAGGTGAAGTTTTGTAGGGGGTGATGGGAAGGTGAGGGAAAAATAATATGACGTTGACCGACAGATCAAAAGTGTGATAAGATGTGGTACCGCACCCACTGACCTTATGAAATATGGAAAATACAGCTAGAGAAAGCACGTGAGGAGCGAAAAAGGACTAAAAATTAATAAATCTATTGTTAATGCTTGCATATATATTAGCATATACATAACTTTTTAAATTATAGCATTGCACTTTGTTTTCTCTTATACGTTTGGTACAAAAAAATGGAATTGAAACAAATAATGAAAATGTAGAGAAAGAGAATTAAATTGGAGAAAAAAAATTGTTTGGTACAATGGATAATTCAACAGAGAAATATATCTAAACCCATATTTTTTTTTTTACCATTTCTCAGCACCAGACATTTTTTGTTTTCCCATAAAACCTTTGTTTGTTTGTTTGTTTTTTTTTTCCTATTTCTCTTAGTCATCAATGTCAAACAAACAAGAGAACGGAATCAATTCCATTTCTCTCCTATTTTTCTATGATTCCATTTCTCTCCTATTTTTCTATACCAAACATGCCCTTATACATTCAACAATAGTATAGCTTCTCTGCTTAGTCTTTCTTTTTCTTTCTGGTGACATTTCAACCCCGACACATTAATCCAAAAGCTCAAAAAAGTTCAGTGATAGAACTTTTTCATCAACTTATCTATAAGACCATCAATACAAAATTGAAGAGATAGTTATGGTGGTATATCAAGTTGGTCTGTTTAACAAGTGCTTATAAATCTATGAAACCATCAAATACAAAATTGCTAAAAACAAATTTTAAGAATTATATGAAAGACACAATGATGAAAAAATTCAAGTAGTAAACTTTAACCCTCTGATTATGAAGGCATATGCCTTTCAGCTTTCACTTATTTACAAGTCTGTCACAGAAATCATTTTTAGCCTTCAATCTAATCCATCCATTGCATCAATTAAAATCTTCCATGACATAAAAATAACTCAAAACATAAATGGTTTATAAACAAGCACATAATACAAAGTAAAATAGATGCCCTTCCCCCCACAGTTTGTGAATGTTAACAAATAACAACATAACCACTGCCTTCCTTCACTTACCTCCTCTTTTTCTTTCTTTTTTAAATTAAACAACAGTCGACTGTGCATATGATGCCGATTCAAAGTTCAATCATCAATCACTCCTCCACTTTTGTGAAAACCGAGTTGCTAAATCCGTTTGCTTTATCTGCATAAAACTACAACATTATGAAAGATGACTCATTTTAAACAATTCCCATCAGACTAATAAATAGCATTAGCAATCTACTTCCATTTATTTTTTATTACAGCATCCTACTTTTATTTCTTTCTATTATAGCAATGTACTTTCAATATTTTCCTTATGAAGTCCCTTTAGTTTGAAAAATCTGCTTAATTATAGCAGTGAAAATTGCTTTGTATTGGGATGATATTGCCATAATATCATCCCAATAAACCGAAACCGAAACCAAACCAAACCGTTTTGAAAAAACCCACAGTTTGGTTTTGATTTTTGGAAAAACCAAATTTTAGGTTTGGTTTTTAATTTAGCCACCTTGATCAAGGTGGTTATTTCTTGCATTTAATCCTAATAAATATCCGAGAACAATTAAAAAAAATTAAAAATACCGGATATTTCACGATTGGTCTTCGTCTGATCTGTATCGGGTCAACCTCCGTCTACGCCTCCTCGGGTTCTCGGGACGACGATCTTCATCATTATCAGCACCCAAATTCAACCCAAACATATCATTATCATTATCATCATCACTCTCATCATCATCTTCATCATCTTGCAACCCCAACAAGCTTTCCCCCCACAACAGCCGTCGACGGCGGTGTCTCGTCGGAACCCTAGGCCTGCCACCGCCGCCGCCACTTCTCCGGTCAGCAGGCGGTGGTTCCATCGACCCAATCATCTGAAACAAGAAAAAAGCAGTCCACCAGTGTCCATTATTATTATTCCCCCCTTCACCTGTCCCCCTCTCCCCCCTATTCTCACCAGGTAATCTACTATTACTATTATTATTACTATTATCTCCATTCTCAATTGCATAGTCCCCAAACACAACTGCCCCGGGCATGGCTGACCGAATCGCACTCACAATATCACCGTATTCTCTCTGGTGCTCGAGTCGTCTCCAAGCTCTTTCACGAGACGGGTCAACATCAGATGGTCGGGCAGTCGGGTGGGCCCGCCTAGCATGGCGTCTCAATTCTCTGTAGTTCCCGGAAAACGAACATGTTTCTTGAGAACAACTCCGGGGCTTCAAATTTAGATACTGTCTGACCTCCTCCACCACCTCCCACCCCGCCACACTTCCGCGACACAATGGGCATTTCAGGTTACAGTTAGACCTTGAACTTGATGTGTTGTCAGAATCTCCGGTCACAGTCACCGGAGCACCATCTCCTCCTGGTGGTGCTCCGGCCAACTCCACATATCCAATTGCATCTGATTCGGTTGATTCATAACTATGATTTTGTGTTGTGGGGTTGGTGTTAACGGGTAGCAAACTTGTTGGGGTGGTTTCGTTGGTTTCAGATACAGATACAGATACGAGTTTTTTGAATCGATCGAGGCAATTTGAATGTCTGTAACTTGTGTCACAAATGAAAGATCTGCAGCCTTTTGAGTGAGAAGTGCATTGGATAAGAACAGCATTGTGGGGGTGATCCATGCATATTGGGCAAGAGATTTCATCCCATTCCTTGTGGAGTGCACTAGTGTCTGCATCATTTGGGAGTCTTCTTTTTCTACTAGCCATCTACTTTGCTGTAATGTATTACTTAAAATATAGGGAATAATTATTAACACAAAAAAGATGTCGCTCTTCATTTCAAAATGATCTTTTATTATCTTGTCTTAAGATGAAAAGAAATGATGATGTATAAGATGTATAAGATCATAGGGATCATTTGTTTATATCTATACATATACTCACCGAGAAAATGCAATCTGAGAATGGCAATGGCCCTTACAAGAATCTTTATGAATTGATCAGAATTATCACGTTCTAAATCTTTAATTGATCTTACTGTATGTTGAAAAGCAGTTGTCACTTGTCACTGACTGAATGCAATGGTTCAACACATCAATTTTACTTGAACTTATATAATGCCTTGAAACTGAAGAAAATTAACAGTTCTGAACCTACCTTGAATCAGAAAATTCCATTAGTCCTAACACCTGCAGTTGTACTGCAGAATACAAAACAATAGTCATCTGCATAATATCCCAACTTATAAACTAAAAGCGAAAACAGCCTTTGAAAGCTACTGATTTCAACAACTTTAACCAATACATAACAGTCTTGTTTACACTAAATATATTACACAATTAGAGTCTGATTAGGAAAAAAATGTAGTATAAACTTGCTAATTGTTTATAACCCCTAAATCTCTGCTCAATGGTGTTTTGAAAGATATCAATGTAAGGCAATGATATTATGCTTACACAAATATATAATCCTTTTGCTCTTAATGGAGAAAATTAGGCTAAAATCAACAGATCGTTTAACATCGCAAAAATAAAAATTTCTTCTGATAAAAAACCCTAACCCTAGCGTTAAATTCAACTTTTACATATCTAACTAATTTCTGGACGAACCAGCACTGAAATTGCACCTAATGATGATCAGCTGATAGCAACGTCAACAAATTATACAGATGAATGAAACCAGATCAACAGATAATAAAGATATTCCGAAATTAAAGGTAGAAGGATGGGGGTTCGAAATTACAATTGATTAACATCATCAGTTCTTCAGGTATTCGTGTTCGATTGAGGATTTCGCTGAAAATTTACAAAAAAAAAATATACAAAATTCGAGTCAAATTCGAGCGATGAGAAAAGGGGGACGAATATTGGAGGTATGTTTCGATGATGTTGTCATCGTTTATATTAATCTCACCAAGGAAAGAAGATGGAATAGACATATAAAAAGCATTTACATTGTTTGGAATTTAGACATGTAAAAGGAAATTACATGAAAAAATAAATAAGAAAAGGAAAAATATATCTAATTTCATTAATTGTTTTTCATAAATAATCAAAAATTCGTTAAATCTCTAAAACATCCATAAATCTCGTAGATAGACGTAATTTGTGAAAATATGATAAGTATTTAAATAAGAAAAATCAAAACAACTTTTAGTTGTAGGAGATAATTTCATATATGTTATCATTCAAATCATTTTATCATTTTATGGTTATCTTTGAAATCATTTGAGATAAACTTATTTATCAGATGTCATATGCAATTTTTATAGATGTCATATGCCATTTTGTAGATGACATTTGATAAAATATTGTATTTTCTGGAAAAAAAAACCTATATTTTTCCTATCCTTCATACTGCGAAATTTGGCATCCTTACTGCATGGAATCTGACATCTTGCGGTTTATACCGGCCGGAACTTCGTGAATGCATATATGTTAGGCCTTTTGCGAAACATTTGAAAAAAAAAGTTATTTAAAAAGTCTCAAGTGATGTACATTTGTATCTGATAGATAATACTTTGGAAGAACATGCTCTGACTATTCAATGCAATGTAGCAAACTGATCAATTGTTTGGTGGGAATTATGTAACACTCGAGAATTTGGTATGTTTCCTTTAGCCATTAATGCAAAAATCATCTCATTATAGTCCCTAGCTAGTACGTGGGGTGTACTTTATGAGTACGCTTAGCGTACTAGCCCGCTTCTGGGTCGCGCATGCACCCACGTACGCTGGGCGTATGTAGGAATATGCACGGCGTACGCAAGACAGGGGAAAACCCTAATTTTTAGAGTTTGCACCCTATTTAAAACAACTTATAACACCTTTGGACATTTTATTGATCAGCCTCCATCACCCTATACCCTAAGAACGAAACCCTAAGTGCCTTTTGTCAGTTTTGAGCTTGAATGTGAGATTTGGTAGTGTTTTAGTGAAAGAAGAAGAAGAAGAACACTTGGAGGTTGTGTGGGAGTAGCTTGAGCTTGTAGATCCAGAGTCATATTCATCTTAGCAAAACATTTGAGGTAAAAAGCTCCCATCTTGATGATTCTGTGTGCTAGATCGAACTTAGGGTGTTATTTATGCATTTTTGGGTCTTTTGAGCGAAAGTTGAGTTTATGATCTACTCCAGAAGTCATAGATGTTAGATCTTAGCTCCATTGATGTCCCTTGTCCATAAAAATGTAATCTTTATGAGAGATATGGGTCCATGCAAGTGTTAAGATTCTTATTAAGCTTCTTTTTGAGTTCTGGGATTTATTAAGTCATGCATGGGTGTAAAGTTGCCAACTTTACGTGTTAAGTCACCTTTTAGAATCGGATCTGAGAGTTTGGCATGTTGGCTTAACCGAATAAGTGCTTAATGATTTGGGTTGGCTGTCTGCCGAGTACGCGGGGCGTACTCAGCTCGTACATTGAGCGTACCGGCCCCAGATGGAGTACGCCAAGCGTAAGTCTGAGTATGCATAGCGTACTCAGCTGTTTGACTTTTGGGTTGACTTCCTCGGGTTTGGGCCATATTTTGGGCTTCTAGGCTTTAGGCCTTATTGGGCCACTAGGCTTCTAACTTTGGGTCATTGGGCTTCTAACTTTAGGCCATGGATAGACTATGGACTTTCTTGGTGGTGGTTGTCGAGGCCAACAAAATTAATAACCCTAATTATTACACACTAAAATAGTGTATAGTGGTAAAGGGATCGAATCCACGGGGATTGGTTCAATTTAATAACTCTATGAAAAATCTCTTTGTAAAAATACTTGGAAAATGACAATAAATTAAAACTGGGGGTTTTGGTGTTTTGAAATACTTGAAACAAACTAGAATTAACTAAGATTTAAATAGACAATTTCAACAAAAATAAGAGTTTGATGTAAAATCAATAAGAGAAAGATGGTTGACTTAAGGTTTCCTCACTTTGACTTTTGATGAACATATCATTAGAATCCAATGGTGCAATACTTGATTTAAACCCTTAATTTGGCTATAGTAATCCAAGGAGCTTGAGATTACATAGACTTTTCTTAATTGTTGAAATGGTTAGAGAAGCTCATAACAATTTCCTTAGTTAAAGTCACTAATTCCATTAAGCATGTAATTAGTGAAAGTCAACTAGCATTAAGAACCAAAAAAGTCACCAAATCCAAGAGGGGTCAAATGCTTTCACCACCATGTTGGAGAAAATGTTTTTATGATTGTGTGAAGTAAAACTAACACAAGAATCACTTGTTGCTTGCTAATTTGAAGATCCTTTACTTAATCAAGAAATTAGCCAACTAATCACCACAAACACATTTAAACTCATGAATAAAAACATGCAAGTAATGATAAGATGTTAAAACACAAAACATTTTCATAAAGATTCAAACACAAATTCATGGATTCTTCAATATTCAACAAAAGTTCAAAGGATTCAACAAAAGTCAACCAAGATTAGTTTAGCCAAGCATGACTAAACTCAAGGAAACAAAGTTAGTTAAGATTGTACCAAACATTTAGCAAGAATTAAGAGATGAAATGGTGAAGTTCTTGAGGGTTCTTAGCCTTCAAAAAATGCTCCAAACTCCAGAGAGAAAGTATCAAAATCGGACCTCCAAGATTATGCTAAAGAGGCACACCAACCTTCCCAATATAGAGCTCTAAGTAAAATCCCGAAATTGCCCTTGTCAGGAATCCACGCGGGCCGCGGGGAATCTTACGCGGGCTGCGTGACTTCGACGGAAATTTTTGGGCTTCTTCAAGTCTTGGGCCCCCACAGCTAATCCATTGGCCCAGTTCGAATCCAATCTGCTTCTAGCCCATTTCTCTTCAATATTTCTTCAATTTGAGCCCAATTTGACTTTTCCAAATCCTCCAAAGCTCTTGTAATCGCCCGATCATCAGCCTCCGCACACTCGAAAATTCTCCTGCGCCTTGCAAATTTAAAGTTCAAATCTTCCAAGCCTTCAAGCAATTGACAAGCCCACTCCATGAATCACCTCCATAGCCATCAAGCATGAAATCCCCATTTCCCTTCAAGCCCAATTGCTTTCCAAAAGATCCCGCTCCGCTAGTCTCCTTAAAATCTGTAATTAAGCTCACAAAACTCGAAAGAACCCGAAAGTGGTCATAAAATAACAAAAAGGAAAATATGCATGGAAATTATCTAAATTGCGAATGAAATATGCTAAAATAAACTATAAAAAGAAGTAAATAAAATGAAGCTATCACTTGGGTTTAGGTCCATGATGATCTTTGGGGTCAATTTGGAAGTTGGGCCTTATTGGGCCTTGGGATGCCACTTAGGAAATTGGGCCTTTTGAGCAAATGGGTGGGGCCTTGGTTATGAGCCAAGTAAGAAAAGGGTAAAATGGTCTTTTACCCTAGATATCGGACAAGTAACTTAGATTCTTGATTATAGGTCGAAATCCAATTATTAATTGGATATTTATTTGATGATGTTAGCGCGGGGATTTTGCGGACCAGCTAATTGAGATTTTATCTGAGCGATTATGCAGCTTGAGGTGAGTTTCCTCACTATGTTTAGCGGGTCGAAGGCACCAATGTCGGCCCATGGTTTATTATGTTTATGATGCTAATTGTCTGTGTGACTCTTGCATGTGTTATGTGTTTATATGTATACCGGGCGGGGCCTGATGATTATATTGTATGCTATTTATCTTTGTGATTTTATGCATGTGTTTATATGTTGTATGTATATCGGGCGGAGCCTAATGAATGACAGATCTGTTCCGAGCGGGGCTCGATGCATGGCGGGGCCCATTATAT